GCAGGAAGAAAAAAAGACAGTACCCTTCAGTGGCATAGCTCCCTACTATTTGGTATCACCCTCCTGGTATCCCCTTGTCTCCTAATCCTTGCCCTCCCCCCACCTCGAGTGTCCTCTTGAGAGGTGCAATTATGTGTAACTGCCCCAGTGACACTTGCCATACACCATAAGAGGACAAATCCTTCAATGTGAGTCATGCAAAGATCTTTTTTCATCTGTTTTAAGCATGGAATTGTTCCCTCTCTGCTTGAGTAAGTCTCAAGCATCAATTTCCTCTTCTCTGGAGAACAGACAAGGGGGTCTTGGAAGATGAGGGAAGAGGAACCGAAAGGCCGTTGCAGGGTAGTGTGCTATGGGTCCAAATAGATATTCAGAATAACACTGTATTTTATTTAGGGCTGCATACATATATAGGATTGATGATAAGGAAATCATAGCAAACCTGGGTAGGAGCAGAACTTCATGGTCTGATGTGATTAGTTGCCCATTCTGTTAAGTAACTATTCCTGATAAAAAAAACAATTGAGCAATTTTTTGTTAGACCTTAATGTTGGCTAACCATCAGTCTTGTGACTTTCAGCAACACATTTAAACAGGCAACAGCCTTCATACAGCCCTATGACCATCTGAGTAACCCTTAACTAGCTTCCCTTCCCCTCCTCCCTCCCTGCCTTTCCTCTCTCTCTCTGTCTCGTCTCCCTCCCTCCCTCTCCCTCTCTCTACCCCCTTTTCTTCTCTCCCATCTGCTCTCCCTTTGTTCTTCCTTCCTCTCTTCTCTTCTTTCCGCTTGATTTTTTAAAAAATTAAAGTATAGCTCAATCAAAAGAAAATCTTTAAGCTGGTTTTCTCATGAATCTTTTCCTTTTGAAAAAGTTCAAAACAAATCCTTGCACTTAGTTGTTCACAATTGACTCATCTGAGAAGTAGCTTGCTAACAGTATAACAGCTACATAATCATATACTAATGTGTAGAAATTATAATTTAAAATGTCAGAATAGTTGTTACCAGTAGAGAGAAAGGAAGGAAAACGATGTTGGAGGGACACATCTAGGGGACTTTATCTGAACCTCTAATGACTTAAACTCTGGAAGCACATAAAGTGAAATGTTATAATTTGATAAAGCTGGGCAGAGGGTATAAGGTTATTTTTTCAGTTATTCTCCATAACTTTTCAAATATAATATGTAGGGTTATAATTTGTCAAAAAATATTCCAGGAAGCAAAAATATCATTTTGAGCTGTTACAAGATAAACTGAGGCATATTATTAAAGGTTTTAAGAGTTTATAGGAACAAATCTCAATTTGAATTAGACAATCCAAACTGGAATTGGTTAGGAGTACTCCACCAGGAGGTGTTGGGGAGAGATGTGATTATAGAGAACAGGCAAATGTGAAGTAAGGAAATCATTGATTGGTTCTTGCTTAAAGCCTAATTGGTTGTCCTTTGGTTTCAATTTCATAACCTTGAGGCATTGATGGGCTCAGATTCTAGTTTGCTTCCACAGGCCACCATGGTATTTAAGAGCCATCTTAGCATAATGGCCTTCTTGTTGAGTTAATTTAACATACCTCACCAGAAGCTGGCCCTTCTCTGACAGCTTCTCCCTAATTTCTCTCCTGTTTCACATCCCTCTTTCAGCTCACCCCCACAAATGTGCACATAAAAATGTAGGACCTGGAAAACATTTGAAATTTTCCACCAATTTCAATTAGTAAGTCGTTATTCAATTAATTCTGTATGCATATCTTTTCTTATGAGATGAATGATTTTCATAGGCCAGAAGATAAAGAAACCTCCTAAAAACACACCATCCTACTTAGTGGCTGACAAATACTTAATAAACATTGTCTCTCTCTAAGTCACTGAGATAAGATTATGAGTTTTATGAGTTGGAGACAGTCTCTATTCACAAGGGTTTGCAGTCTAGGAAAGCATGTGCCACAAGTACCAGAAACGGATGCAGTTTTTACAGAGATTAAAGAGGTTGTCACTCTGAATTAGTCTTAAGACTGAATCATAGAATATTTTAAAAATCATTGAAATGGTTATTGTCAATTCCACTATCATGAGTTTATTCTACAGGTGTGGTTGCACATGTATGAAATGATTTATACATAAGCCTTGTTTGTTAGAGCAAAAAACTGAAAATAACTTAAATATCCATTAATATGAGTGTGAGTAAACTAGGGTACATCCATGAAAGGGAATAATATACAATCAATAGAATGCAGGATCCCATATACCATAAAATGAACAGAACACTAAGAAACATTATGAAGTGAAATCAAGTAAGACAGTCAGACAAACAATAATAAAATAAAGCACTAAATAAAATTGCAGTATTTTATAATCTGTGTGAGGAAATAATTTAATATACATATGTATATTCATAGACTATCTCTGTAATGATACAAAAAAGAACTAAAAATAGGATGGAAGAAATTGGGTAATTGAGGAACAGATTAGGAGGGAGATGTGTATCCTTTAATGCCTTGTATATTTTATACAATGAACATATATCACATAATAATAAAATTAAGTTACGTAAAAATACAAAGATGTAGGGGGTTCTGTGGTTAGGATTCCAGGCTATAGCCTGGGTTCAATCCCTGATCAGGGGACTGAGATCCCACAAGCCACACGGCACAGCCAAAAAAAAAAAAAAATACAAAGAGGTAAAAAATAAATTGAAAGTAATAAGAGAAAAGAGCACTGGAGAAAAAGAATTAAAAGTAAAGGCAGACTCTTTTCCTTCCTTTTTTTTCCTTTGCAAAATATGTTTGGAATTTTTCAGTGTAGAAGATCAGTGCTCCAGCCTTTATGAAGGTGATGGATGGAATAGAAGGTATGAAGGGCATAAGAGAAGCTGATCCAGTCAGAGGGTTCTGGCAAGTTCTAGCTATAGACATCATGCAAGGATGCTAAGGCTGAGTTTCCCTTTGTGTAGAGAAACTGATGGACTTCCAGCTAACTCCTCACCCATAGACTCTGAGCTCTCTGAGGCAGCGAGAGGACTGATGGATCTTCAGATCTCTCGTGTTCCCTGGGGAATCTGGCCCCAAGCTACTGATACATTTGATATGAATGACTGACTGACTAGGGTGAGACCTGGGGGTCCTTAGTGAATTCAATGAACAAGAAGGAATAGAGTTGCTATGTATTTGCTGTTCAAATTATTGTGTTTTGCCATTACCATTATCTGATGATAAAACATTGGGAAAATTTTCAGAAAGTTAAAAAAAAAAACTTGAATTTGCTGCTTTCAGGCAACTATTTTCATAGAATCTACATTGTTTTAGGTATTATAAGTAATCCAGAGATGATTTAAAGTATACATAGGATGTTATATGCAAATAGTATGTCATTTTACATACGGAACTTGAGCAGCCTTGGATTTTGATATCTGTGGGGGTTCTGGAACCAGTCCCCTGTGGATATCAAGTTATGACTGTATACATTTAACAATCCTTTTTTTTAAGCACAATGATATATTAAGCAAAGTCATCTTCTACATTATTATAGTATAGAGTTTTGAATATCAAGATTTTTTTTAAGATTTATAGTATTTATTTCCTCTCTTGGGAAACTGTGAAGGAGGACTTTTAGTTTAAGTAACATAACTCTAGAAAAACACTGCAGATTCCCATTTTCATAACTGACTATGAGGTATATATTCATATACCTGCAGGTTAATATATGAAAATGTCTTCAATCTGATTGCTGTGCACTCTTAGCATTCTAGAATGTATAATTTTCAATTACTAAAGATGCTATTTAATGTAAAACTCATGTCTTACAGTGCATTTTTTTTTCTTATGGTTTCCCTGAATTTCTGTTGTACTGAATTTAAAATATGCATATGAAGGTCCGCAAATGGGTGGATCAGTAGCCAGTTATAGAGAGAATCTCTTTCTCTTTGAAACCTCTCATGGGACTTTCTCTTTTCCTGAAACGTCTCTTTTGAAAGTGTAAAATGCAAAAATTAGAAGAAAAAAAACCTCCATGGACATGAGTTGCTTTCATTCACAAAGAGCAGATTACTGTTTGTTTAAAGTCACCTTAGCAAACGGCCATTGGGAACTAGAGGGAGTCACCAGTGTTCTAACAGGAACACAGGAACACGTATCTACGCTCTCACCAGTTAACGCTGGTGCCATTTTGAGTCCCAGTGTTGGGTTGTTCAGTCACTCAGTCATGTCTGACTCTGTGACCCCATGGACTGCAGCTCGCCAGGATTCCCTGTCCTTCACTGTCTCCTGAAGTTTGCCCAGGCTGGTGGTTTCACACTAAACCTCTTTGTCCAGTGCGTAGACCCTCTTTGATTTCTCACAGGAAGGGGATAAATGGTGCTGAAGAGTTGCAGAGAGTGCTGTTTGGCCTCCACTCCTCTCTTGGGCACTCACATCTAGTGATCTAGGATTCCCGAGATCCACTTTTAGTTCAAGGCTCTTCTTATGCATAAACTCTATTTCTCAGCTTTTAAAACCCCATGGTGCTTCCTGATCAACACAGCCATCTCACAGTTTCTTGCAACATTTTTTAAAATTTCAAAACAAGTGGGACCAATATTGTGCCTAGAGCCAAAATAAAGTCATTTTAGTATTGAGGATGCTTTTTTAAAAATTTTATTTATTTTTTAATTGAAAGATAATTGCTTTAGAGAATTTTGTTGTTTTCTGTCAAACCTCAACACGAGGATGCTTTTTTTAACCACACCGACACCACTTTGGAAATTTTAATAGCTCTGGGAGGGTGAAGACAATGAAGAAGATGAAAACTTCCTTTCTCTAAGTGTTTCTACCTTGGCTCCATCCAGTTGGATTAGCAGTTTCAAGGGAAGGACCGGACAGCTGCCTTTGACCTCTTCATGCAGCCCGATTGGGGCTTATTCCTCAGGGAGGGGGTTGGGCTGATGGAGTAAGCTGGGAATGTGCCCCTCCTCTCACTGACCAGGGGTCTCAGCTTTGGTTTTCTGGTCTTTCCCTCTTCCTTTCCAGAGCATCGTGTGCACTGGGAGGCGTCAGTGGCACCCGGACCCCGTCCTGATCCACTGCATCCAGTCCTGCGAGGTAAGATGCCCCCCTCCCTCAAACCCAGACCAGCACTCTCTGCTTCACTCAGCTCACAGGGATTTGAGTCCTTTTGGTTCAGTATCTTGCCCTTTCTCCGCTCCAATGTCCTCTGTTCAATCTCTTACATGTGGTTCCATAATCCCCAAATTACAGATATTAGGATTTCTGATTTTTTTTTAAAAAAAGCAAAATCTCCAGGGTTCCATTTTAAATGACTAACTAAAAAATAAAGTTAAAAGCAAGTCAGAATGATTTATGGTTTGGGGATTCTCTAACTGGGCCTCACTGGAGCTTAGTTAGATCAGACGTTTGTAGCTCAATGGCCCACAGACAGGGGTTTGGCCAGGGCAGTGTCTTAAAAACAATTTTGTTTTGGTTGCTAATGCTTAAAAATTGGGAATTCCACATAAAATTCATATGTGTTCAGGTAACATTTTACATACAGCAAATAAAAATAAACATAAAATCTTTGTGCAAAGATTTTTCTCTTGAAAAAACAAGAATATCTGGCAACCGTGGCAACAATCAACTGAATCTGAGTGGCAGCTAGAACGCCAGAAGGGCCGCTGCCCTCCAGTTCAGCACCGTCCTTAGCAGTCCCTGCAGCTTCTTACCTTCTGGGCTTCTCTCATTGACATCAACTGCCAGGGTCACACAGGCATCTCAGTTTGAAACCTCTGAGGAGGACCTGTAGTCCACTGGTGATTAACCCAAACTAGATCTTTACCACCTCAAGAAATCCTGTTTACTTCTTCACACGGGGCATGCCCCTCCCAGTGGGGAAGTTAGGGGTCTGTGAATTCCTTCACTGGGTTAAGAGAAGTTATTACAAGGAAGAGTCGAGAATGAGGCAGAGCCTTGCTTACAGAGCATGACAAAGGAATCCTGACATGGACACACACACACACACACACACACACACACACACGTCCTCTCACCCAGGGAATAGCCAGTAACAAATACAAGTCCTCTAGTCTCAGTCACAACAGCCTTTGTTATCCAGACCTCTCACTGGAAGTAATTCAGCCACTTAGCAGCAATGCTAATTCTGGCTGGACCTCAAACGCCAGAGGGAGCTGTTTAACTGCCCTTGACTTTAGCACCCTCCCGTCATGCACACCCAACTCTCCCTTCTTCTGTATCTCTGTTTCTCTTGATCTAATTCTGGGAAACTGGGATCTCTGTGAGGCCAAAGAGGGGGAAAGGGTGGGGTTTGAGACAAAGGGAAAACTGGGTGGGGAAATGATACCAGTAAACTAGCGTCTGGAGAGCGCATCAGGAAAAACGCTAGCTTGGAGCGTGCTTTGTTACGGTGTCGGCCAACAAAACAGCTCATCTTCTGCCATCATTAGAAAAACAGATGGCAGTGGGGTGGGGAGGAGGGGGAGTGACTCATCCCCGGGAAAGGGGGTAAGAAGGGGGAAGAAGAGGCCAGGGAAGGAGGGAGATAAACAGACAGAAGACTCTGGGACGAGATCAAAGGTATCCTGAGAATTCCCTTCTGCTGCTTCCACGCATGATCGCAAGAGGGAGGGTAGACAGCAGGCCCTGGAGCTGGCTCCGGTGTTTCCCAGAAGGTTACAACACAGAGCTTTCCCCATTTGTCCTCCCTCCACTCTGAACACAGCACATGCTCTGGTATTCAGAGCATCCCAGGCTGCTCTCAGCCCCTTTGCCGATGTGATGAGGAACAAAACTGTGTTCCCTCTTATGATCCCCCACAACCCAACTGCTATCATGCATAGCTGAGGACTGACCACCACACACCTGTTGGTACCCCCACTCCAGGGGTTCTCAAAGTGTGACCCATGGACCAGCACAATTGGCATCATCTAGGAACATGTTAAAAGTACATATCCTCAGGCCGCATCCCAGACTTTTTGAATCAGAGGCTCTGGGGGTGGGACCCATCAATCTGTGTTTTTTATTCTTTATTTTTTTAATTACTTTTTAATTTATTTTTTAATTAGAGGAAAATTGCTTTTCAATGTTGTCTTTGTTTTTGCTGTACACTAATTAAATAAATTATAATTATGTATATATAATTGACTGAAGTTGCTCAGTCATGTCTGACTCTTTGTGACCCCATGGACTGTAACCTACCAGGTTCCTCCGTCCATGGAATCTTCCAGGCAAGAGTACTGGAGCGGGTTGCCATTTCCTTCTCCAGGGGATCTTCCCAATCAAAGGATTGAACCCAGGTCTCCCACATTGCAAGCAGATTTTTTTACCATCTGAGCCACCAAGGAAGCCCAAGAATACTGGAGTGGGTAGCCTATCCGTTTTCCAGGGGACCTTCCTGACCCATTGTAGGGGGGAGGGTTTTCCTCATTTTGTGGGGTGATAATTGAAGTGAGTTGTCACTGCATCCATGAACACATAATACTATCAGGTCATAGAAGTGTTACCTTCTGTCTTTTTTTCCCTTCCTGCTTCCCTCCCTCCCTCCCTCCCTTCCTTCCTTCCTTTTCTTCTTTCCTTCCCAAAAGTCATATTTATAAATTCTAACAAAATATACAGTCCTGGGTTCCACTTAAATTAAGAACATCTTGTTCTCTAGGGAATGCAAAGGAAATAAAGGCCACACCTCCAGCCTCCTTTTGGATAGTAATGACTAACTTACTTCCTGTAGGATAATTAACATTGAGTGCCCACTGACCTACATTTTGGCTCTACTTTTTCTTTGAGCATGTATCTCGTGCAAGTTCATTGTGCTTCCCAGTAGCACCCATTTTGGCTTACAATTTCTGATAGTCTTTCTTCAACCTTTTGCAAGCTCTTGTAGAGCTGTACTCTTTCTTTTTTTGGCAAAAAGGGAGCCACGCAGGACGACAGAAACAGAATGTCAGAAGAATTAGGTTCAAATCCTGAGTCTCCCTTTGTTAACTGCGTACAGTATGTGTCTGACTTTATCTCAAAACTTCTGTGAGAATCAAGTGAAATAACTGATTTTAAGGTGCTATGTAAGTTGCATGTAATGTAACATATTTGTTGCAGTATTGGCTAAGGAACAATATACATCAATGTGTAAGGATGGGATCTTATTGAAAAAATATATAAATATTAAGACTCAAGAAACAGTTCATACACCCAGTCTATAGTCTTATGAATATTATTATATACTGAAGATGGCCATGGTTAAATGATGTTCTAGAGGCTTCTGATAAACTGTAGAAAACTTTTAAAGAGTTTTGAGGATATTTCAAGTCATGCTACTGTTTCTCCTATAAATTCTTATACATACCCTTGTAAATGCCTGTCATCTCACTTATCACATTATTTCAAGATTATATGACAGGTCCGTCCTTCCAACAATCTGTGAGCTCCTAGTGATAGGATGTGTGTTATTCCCTTGGAAAGCACAGGCCTAATTCTTCAATGACTCCTGCTTCTTCCCCTTTACAGGCAAGCAGAGAGAGTTGAAGGTAGACTTTGACTTTGAGAGTCTCAAATTGAGAATGATAGTATCAGTTTTCTGAAGAATAGCACAGTGGAGGGAAAGGTAGGGAAGGGATAGAAGGAGAAGGAGAGAATACAACCCTGTGATGCTTAGAATCAGAAAGCCTTGCAACGAGGGCAGCCTGGAGGAGCCAAAGGAGGCTGTCAGGGGTCTGGAGAGGGGCTTCAACCTCAGTTTCATCGCTTGGTACATGTTTCTTGAACAAGTCCATTAATTTTTCTGAATTGTTTCCTCAGTTTTACAATTAGATGGATAGAATTTATCTTCTAAACTTGTTGGTCAGATACCAGGTTCAGTAAACAATGGAGATGGACCCAGGGCCGGGTGTCATTTGGGCCTTCAAAGTGGCCCCAGAAGAATGTAGATCATGCTGATTTTTCAGAAATAACTGGAAATCTCTCTTGTTACTGGGGACTTTTCCCTTCTGTATACATTTTGATCTTGATTATACCCATGAGTCTTTCTCTTAAAGAACTCCAGTTCAGATTTGTGGCCTTCTTGGTTAGCCTTGATTTCTTATTCACTGGCTGCATTTACTTAAATGTAGGTGGGCAGTTGTATTGTTTTTACACATTTGGTAGCTGATATCAACAAGGCTTCCATCACTAATTCATTCCATCTGCTCCACCATTCCTTAGATTCTTTCTTCTGTGTTGTCTTGGCCTTCTCTCTTCCTTTCTTTTGTTATTTGTATTCCGGATGATAGCCCTGTCAGCTGTGTCACTGTGCTTCAGGATCGCTCATGGGAACTGTCGTTTCAGGCTGTACCTCTAGGATGTGGGGCCCTATATATACTACATGGGGTAGAAATAATGGCATGAATATCAAGTTTGTATTGCACCTTTTCTTCTTTCCCAAACTTTAAGCCCAGAGGGGTAGAGAACAGCTAGAGTCAGACTAAAATGCCCCTTTAAGGAGATGTGCTTTATACTTGGGTGCAGATCTGAATGGGATGATCAGGGATGGGGTGGGAGAGGGTCACAGGTTAGCCTGCATGTGATAAGTACCCAAGAAATAAGTGATTGTTATGGACTTCTACCTGATGTGTGGTCCTTTTGGCCTAAGGTTTATAAATACAAGCCTTCCCTTGGCCCCATAGTAACCCCTGTTCAGCCATTCTTTTCTTGAACTTTTATCCTTTCTATCTGTATGGTTTATCTCTATTACTGTGCTTTAGTAATGCCTTTTTCATCACTAGATAGTCACACTTTTTTTTTTTAATAAATGCCCAAAACTTGATCTTTGAAGTGTGAACTCATGGAATTGCTACTGATCTTTCTAAGAAAAAAAAGAAAGAAAGAAAAACAATCACCTGAGTATGTCTTTATAAATTCCTTATTAAAAAGAGAAAAGTGAGTCTTTTCGAGGATACCTGTATTCAGAAAACCAAATGTTCCAACCCAAACTTTATCACTCTAGGCACTGTGTGATTGCAAAGTTGTTTAACTTCTCTTTCTTTCTTTTTCATTGATATTTTGTCATTTAAATAACAGCCAACAATTAAACTTCTCTTTGCCATTTTTTAGCTGTTTACAAA